AAAAAAACATAAAAAACTTGAAAATTATGATAACGTAAGAAGTTCAAATATAAAGATTCTACTCGTCGCCATATTGTTCCCACAAATATTCAATCATTCTTGTAGTTGAGAGCTAGTAGCTCTATCCCTAATTCGATTATGAGTTTGAAGAAAATCATGTAGTTCTGGTATTTCACAATGTGACACTGATATAAAGGAATTGACTTCATGTTCATGGTCAAATCCAAGGTTCATTGCTCCTTCATTCTCAATAATTATATTATGCATTATTATGCAAGCTTTCATAATATATGCAATTGTTTCTTCATCCTAGTATCGAATAGGTCCACGTACAATTGCAAAACAAAATTGAAGCACCCCAAATGCTCGCTCCACATCTTTTATTGCAGACTCTTGCTTGCTTACAAAATATTTTCTCTTTACTCCTAATGGTCTTAGGATTGTCTTAACAAAGGTTGACCAATTAGGATAAATCTCATCTGCTAAATAGTATCTCATTGTATATTCATGCCCATTAATTGTATAATTAACAAGAGCAGTACAACCTTTAGCAAGTGCAACAAAGATAGGTGACCGATCAAGAATATTAATATCATTTAATGATCCAGGCATTCCAAAAAAGACATGTCATATCCAAAGATCTTGTGAAGCCACCGCCTCTAGAATTATAGTTGGTTCACGACAATGACTAGTATACATCCCATGCCATGCAATTGTGCATTTCTTCCATTTTCAATATATACAGTCAATGCTCCCTAACATCCTTGAAAATCCACGCTGCTCTCCAATTGATAATAATTGACAAATATCAGCCTCGTTTGGTGCCCTTAAATACCAATCACCAAAAACTTCTACGATTACTTTGAAAAAAACTCTAAGACTTTCTATTGCACCGGTTTCTCTAATTTAAAGATATTCATCAGTAAGATCTGCAGGAATACCATATGCAAGTATTCTGTGAGCTGCAGTTACCTTTTAAAGACAAGATAAACCAAGAACACCAAGAGCATCTGTTCTTTGTTTGAAATATGGATTATGAACTTCCACTGCATTTGCGATTCGAAAAAAAAGGTGACGACTTATCCTAAATCTTCTTTAAAATTGACTTTCAGTGAATTTAGGATTTTCTACAAAATAATCATCTTATATAACCTTAACTTACCTTCCTTTCTATTACGATTGGCAATATTGTGACCAAGAATAGAGCCACGATACCTTATTCTCCACCCTTGATTATTCGATTCTTATTCAGCAACCACAGTAGTAGCAACTTGAAAAGAAAATACAGGAGTGTCATTATCAAAATTAAAAGAATCATAAAAATTAAAATTACAATGATTCATGATGAATTTTAATGAAATATAACAAAGATTGCAGAGAAGAAAATAATAAAAAAAAAATATTAAGGTTTTTACTAGCAAATAATTCTTTTAATTTTTTGGTCTCCTCCTATAAAATTCTTTCCCCTTTATTTTTAGCAGCACATACACATAACTATGGTTTATTTTCTAGCAAATAATTTTTTATAAATAAATTTATGAAAAATAAATTATTTTTTAATATTTTATTATATCTTTAAAAATAACATGAAAAATAACTTATTAATATTTTATTTTTTAAAATTTATTAAAATAATAAGTTACAAATCTTACAAATTACAAATTAAAAGTTGAGTGAAAATAAAATTTAAAAAATATAATTTTATAAATTATCTCAAATAAAATAAATAAAGATCAAATCTAATAGATAAAAAATTAAAAGATGAAATTAAAATAATAGTAATAATAATTATATTTTCATAAATTATTTCAAATAAAATAAATAACAATTAAAAGAATGAGGACTAAATTTAATAAATAAAAATTTTCAATTAAAAAATAATAAGAGAAAAGCAAATAACAATCATAAAAATAAAGATTAGAGTTAATATAAAAATTAAATTCTAAGGGATAAAATTATGAATAAAAAGATTGAAAATAAATATATAACAATTAAACGTTTGAAGACCAAATTTGATATAATTGATAAATAATATGATATTTTTAAATTTTTAAAAAGTATTTTTTGTTTAAAATAAAAAGAAAAGCATTTTTTTCAAAATTAAAAGAAATTTTTGTTTGATTGAAAAATATTTTTTGTTGATTAATTTTTTTAATAATAATAAAATTTAAAAAAAATTAAAAAATAATTTTTTAAAAAGTACTGTGAAACAAACAGGAACTCAGTTTATATTGTAATTTCTTTGGCTTCACGTGGTGAATTGTTTTTAAGTGCCAAAAAAAGAAAACAATGAAAAAAGACAAAAAATAGCTAGATCAAATGCTTGCTCGGGCTAGGGGTGCGAGGGCGTGGAGGCTACACCCATGTGTTTGGTCCTGCTTCAGGGTTTTTTTTTTTTTTTTTAATTATTATTATTAAAGGGGCATTTTTTTGAAAAAACTTAAAGCGAATTATATAATTTGTCGCAGCAGTAGATTCGTTGCCGACTTATCTAGTTTTAGGTTGTTAAAGTGGTTGGAAATTAGATTAAAAAACGATTAAAACACTCTAAAAACAACCATTGTTTTTCATCAATCAGCCTATTTTTCAGCTATTGTTCCATCTAAAAATATCCAAAAAAAAAAAAAACACTCAACAAACCTCAATAAACCCACGTGTGCTACCAAAAAATCCATTAAAAACCAAAAAATAAAATTGAGATTTAAAACCTTAATCTACTTTTTCAAGGGAAGATAAGAATAAAATATCACCACCATTCAAAGACTTCTCTGAACATTTTAATACCAAACTTGATCGTTGTAGCTACTAAAATTATAACAATCAAATATTTTTTTTTAACAGAAGAGTCATCTTTTTTTATTTATAAAATAAAATAAAAATAATAAAATAGACTTTAGAATCAAAATTAAAATTGTAAAAAATTATGACTAGGCATATATTATCTTCATGTCTTATATTTTAATTATTTATCTTTTAATTTTATAAATCTACTAAAATTTTAAGGCTAATTTCTTCCTATTGAACTAGAAAAGAACTAAGTTAAAAATGAAGAAGAAGAATTAAGAACTTAACTAGTTTCCGTAACAAAAGTTATAATCGAAAAGAAAAAAGGGAGAAAACTCACCAAAAGACAAATTACAACCCTAAAAATTGAGTTTTCAAAAACTTTGATCTTTTTTAAATTTAGATTTTTAGTATTTTTGGAACTAATACAGAAAATAATTTTTAAAAATATTATTTAAAATATTTTTTTTAAAGCAATCTCTTTATCATCACAATTACTGTTGTTAACATTGCGAGTTAACTTTTAAAATTTTATAATTTTACGAGTCAACATTTTATCTAACATGTTAAATAAAACTGAAAATTTAAAATCAGTAAAATTAATATAACTCGTGTAAATCAGTAAACTTGATCTGATTTTACAAATTTACTAGATTTGTGATATGAACCAAGTTAGGTTTAAAATTGACATCAAAATGTTTGATAATTAGCTTTATAAGATTGAGCGTATCTTTCAAACTGTATATTAAATAAAGTTGATTTTTTACAGAGAAATATTAGATACATAAAAATATACTAAAATAAATTTTCAGGTCAAATAAAGCCAATAAATATAATATTTCAGATGGTTAAAATTAGTAAACTAGTTGTCAAATATATCAAATAAGACATCCGTGTACCTTTTACGACATATTTAGAGCTACTAGTCAAATTTTGTTTTGATTAAAGTTATGATATAAATTAAATATATGAAACTTTCTATCCATATATTGTAGGCCCAAATAATTCATACAAATAAGAGAGAACAACATGTTTGGAATTAAGACTTAATCTGTCTAAAATATGCAAAAATTAAAAATTCATGCTATATAAAGGAATATTAACAAGAAGACTTTTTTATTATTATTCTATTTTGTTATTTATTTAATTTTAAATAATTATTTTTAATTTAATTTTTTTATAAATGTATTGTAGGCCCAAATAATTCATACAAATAAGAGAGACCAACATGTTTGGAATTAAGACTCAATCTGTCTAAAATATGCAAAAATTAAAGATTCATGCTATATAAAGAAATATTAACAAGAAGACTTTTTATTATTATTCTATTTTGTTATTTATTTAATTTTAAATAATTATTTTTAATTTAATTTTTTTATAATACACTAGACATTACTTTAATATTTATTTCATTATTGAATTTATGTAAGTTAATTACTTATTTAAACTTATCAACTTACAGCTAGAAATGGGTCTATCGAGATTCATTGTAATAAAAATAACTACTTTGCCACTAAATTTATATGTGTTTCTTATCTTTAAGTTATTCTCCTTTGTATATAAATTTTGTTATAAATTTTTTTATTTTTTCATGTTATTAATTTATTGATACATACTATTTTTTATTTTATTTAAATTATTTATTAGTTATAATATTATGGATTTATTTTATTATATTTTAATGTAATTTAATTTCTTGGCTGAAATTATTAATATATAATTAATTTAAAAAATTTATTTGTAATTTTATGATTTTACTATTTAAATTTATAATTCAAATTTATATAATATTTTTTATATCTTGTATTTTACACAATCTTATTTGCGCTCTGGAATACCCATTTGTTTAAATTAAAAGTAGGTTACTTTATAAAAATTACCTTTTTTAAAATAAAAAACTATTTTCCTACGTACGAGCAGACAGTAACAGATAATGGCAAAGGATAGGAACAAGAAAAGGATGAGAACGTAGACCCCGCGCACATCAGCAATAATAAAAGGTTAAAAGACATTCACTCGTGCTGGGTGCTTTGATTCAGGCGATTGGAAGCTTTTGAGAAAATGGGATCTTTGATGGCTGGTTGGGACTCACCTGTCCCTGATCCTAGATCAAGTAAATAATCTTGGCAATCATGGTTATCTATATTTTCCTATGACACACATGCAGCTTTCATTTTGTTTTTCTTCGTCTGGTGTTAATTTGGTTTGTGTGATCTGTGGTTTCTGATGAGTGAAAAATTCAGTGAAGTACAGGAGGAATCGGTCACTTACTAGAGGAGAGATCGATGCTTACTGGAGATCAAAGAAGAGAATAGAAGAGGATCATCTCAAAGCTATTTCCGGTCTATCCAGTAGCAGTCAGGTCTATTATTTTCCACGGGCAGGCTTTTTTTTTCCCTTTTGCATGGATACTCTGTATCTTTACTTAAAGAGGTACCATGATCTTGCCATGTATGTGACAGGATGGCGTGGACGAGGATCATGGAATACAGTTTCAGAGATCAAGCTCCTTACCCGCAGCCACTACGAAGGAGGTGTTCATGGACATGGAGACTGATCAAGCAAGTTTGGAGCAACTTATCAAGAAAAATGGCTGGTAATTAATTAAGCTAAAGCCTCAGCAACAAACCCATTACAGCAACAAGTTCAAATTGAGGCGCGTTTTAATCTAGTTTCTGCTTTTTAATTAAGCTAATCTGGTTATTGTAGGTGGGCAAGTAGCAACTGGGCATTCCTAAATGAGCCGCCAATTCTGGAACGTGCTTCTAACAATTACACACCGCAGTTTCACGTTGCTAGTCTTGCCACCTCAAAATCCAATACTGGAATCAATGCGTAGTGATGGCCTTTCTTCCTCTATATAGGACTGCTGTGTGCCCGCCGTCTAGCTTTGCATATTCATGCCCCTTAATATCTAAGCTGCTAGGGTACGCTTTGGTAAGATAGTGTTCATATGGAGTGGACTGTGAGGAGTGGATTTTCTAGTGTGTGTGTGTTCCCTTCCTATCTGATCTGGACATGTTAAGAGTGTAAAATAGCTGGACATGCTAGGTTATAGACTTGTATTATCTGGTGTTCTTGGCATCTACTTTTGGATACTGTTTTCAAGATATATCTTTTGTGATTTTGTCGTACTGATATTAAAAAATTAAAATATTGTTTTGATATATTTTTAATTAAAAAATATTTTAATAAAACGCGTTGCATCCCAATAACCAAACACACTAATCAAATGCTTAGAGATGTTTAGTAGGCTTTAAGGGTCGGTTATATAATTATTAACAGAAATAACCAAAAAAAAAAAAAACGTAATAATACAAA